TCTGCTGGTTATTTCTATTCTCTTTAATTCATATTCCTGGTAAACCTCATGGGTCTGGTCTGTCATATATTTGGGGACATTCTTCTGGATTTGTTATGGTGGATCATTTGGGCTCCAAGTCAGGAAATGCTCATGCACACATTACATCAACCCTTGTTCAGGGAAGGACAGAAACATCTGATTAATTTTAAGTATTTGCTTAAATCCTATTGTCTACAATGATCAATTTAAGTCCACTTGACTTAGATACTTAAGTCCACCCTTGTTCAGTAGCCCAGGGGGCTTGTAGGGTTACTAGTCATCAAGAACTACAGGTCAGGAAGCACTATGGGCCTGATTCAAAACCCAAGCAAGCAAACAACACAATATTACATTGACTCATGTGAGCCTTGGGTTAGGCCACATGTCTGGTAATAAATGTTTTCAAGATCAGGCCCATGTATCGCTATGGGACTCAGTTATCATCTTTGCTATCTGGGTCATCATTTAAGCAATAAGGATCATGGTGTGGGGGCTTTTCTCTGGGAGTGCTGTAAATGGGAGGAGGTAATGGCCTGAAGCACAGTTAAAGGACCCAGGGTGGTCGTTAATCCACAGTCTCAAACTTATTGCTATTTTTACATACTGAAAATGAAAAACATAATCCCCTGGGTGTACAGACTTTCCCTGGCTCCAATAACAATGCAGATTTGTACAGAATGCACAATTAGTGCCCTGTAAATCAGCCACACTGCAGTAGCACAACACTTCATGTTACAGTAATAAGTTGTCTTGGAGGTAGGACTGCTGCCCATCCATGGACAAGCGCACCAGCCTATTTTGCAAGGCACGTGGCATTGTGCTGCAGAGCGTCTGCCATGGGAAGTGAATGGTTTATGCCTTTAAATTTGTCAAAGGGATTAATTAACATCAACTCAGCAAATGTAAGTATTGATGCTATATTGGAAACAAGGTATGCAAAAGGATGTGAGGCCATAACCTCCTGATGAACAGGATTTTACAATGGGAATATTGACACAGCTCCTAACCAATGCAACAGTGTTGGGGCACTTTTTAAAACATGACCATCGCAATGTATGGCCCTCACTCCAAGACGATTAGCTTGTGAGTAACTGTGTTCAGTGGAACTGTACACTTGTGTAAGTCTTAATTGTGTGTTTGCGAGACTGGGGTTGAAAGGAATTTGCCCCCTCTATTGCTTGGCTAGATCATAGTGTTCCTAGGTGTCAGGTGCATACAAAGGAGGGGGAAAAGAAAGTCACGAGGGGCTAGATCTGCAAAGTGACCTTGGTGCTGTGATGCTCGGGAGTGCAATGCCCAACTTTAAGGGACCTGGCTCCCACTGTGGAATAATCCACAGCCCTAAGACAGGCTCAGAATGGGACTCACAAGAGTTAGCCCTAACTCTGCCTGCTACCTGTGCTAGCGACATGAAATATTGAAGAGAGTGGGGTGTTGGGCATTTCATTCTGGGCTGCAGTAAGTCCTTTAGATGAGATTGGGACTCTCAGCCTGGAACCCTCTCCTAGAGTCAGGTGCCTGTGTCATTCACTTCACAAGGAGCAGGGGTCACGCTCCTTGTCAAAAGTGGGAGATGGTGAAGCCTACCTCTTACAGAAGAAGCCAGTTGTTAGAGCACTCCTTCAGGATATGGGAGACCTGGATTCCAGGTCCTCCTCAGATAACGGTTTTTAAATCCATTAGGCTAATCCTAAATTTACAGGCTGCTCTGCTATGGAGACACTCTCCTTTCCTCCCGCTGAAACCGGGC